GAGGGAAGGGAGGGAGGGAAGGAAGGAAGGAAGGAAGGAAGGAAGGAAGGAAGGGAGGGAGGGAGGGAGGGAGGGAGGGAGAAAAGGAAGAAAGGAGGGAAGGAGCGAGGGAGAGAGGGAGGGAAGGAAAGAAGAAAGGAAGGAAGGGAGGGGGTACACACCACCCAGTGTCGTGACACGGACCCCTGGATCCTTCCGGAATCGTGGCGTCTGCCCATACGCAGCGCCCAGGCCTCACCCCTTATTTCCCTCAGCTCCTTGGGATGTCACACACACCAGCCAAAAAAGTCACTTTGGAGAGCAAGACCCTGGGCCTTGTGGCCACGGGGGCCTGGCGTCGCCTGGCGTTCTGCGCTGGCCGTTCCTTCCGCCGGTGCCGCCTGGTGCCCGTCCAGCTCTGGCGGGAGCGTGATCTGTGCGGGCGCTGTGGGTGCTGACTCAGCACTGCAGCCTGACCCTTTCCACGCCGGCCTCGTCACCTGACACGCACAGCCCGCCCGCGTGGGGCGGGGACGTGGGAATTAGGCGACGAGAGGCGATTTTAGAACCCCAGTGACCAAAAATCACTTCCAAACTGCATCAGCGGCTGAGGGCGGCCCCCCCGCCCCCCGTGCCATCGGAGGAGCGGCCGAGAGCAGGCGCGGCGTCAACAACTGGGTTATCCCTCTTCTCCGCGGGGGTCTGAGACCCGGGTCCTGGGAAGACATGGGTCAGAGGGTCAAAACATGCAGGCCAGAGAAGCAGGAAGGCAGAGCTCGCCGTCTTGTGCGTTCAGGGGCAGAGGGAGGAGGAAGTCCCAGATAGTGCTGGGACGAGCGTGCCACCTTCACGGCGATGAACAGATTGGTGGGCAGGGGGCACGGGGCTTCCTCGGGATGTGAGTGGAAGGGAGGTCGCTCCCTCGCACGCCTTCCTGGTGCTGACTTTCGCTTTTTTTTTTTTTGGTTCTGGGGTCGCCCGGGCAGTGCTCGGGGGGTTTCTTTGCTCCTGCTGGTGCAGTGCCCAGGACCAAGTCCAGGCCCCTGCGGGCAGAGTAGCCCGCGTGTCCCTCCCGGGCCCTTCCTCCTCGTTAAGGCCAGGAAACTTCCCGAGTGGGGTGTTGGGCATTTTGGCATTTCTGAGATGTGCAGAGACGGGAACTTGCCAGGTCTTGTTTCTCTGCCTCTGTGGCTCCCGTTTGCCTGCAGTGTAGACCTCGGTTTTATGCCAGGACACTGTGTTGGGGCGGGGGGTGGCGTATTCCCATCCCACACGCCGTAGCTGATGAATGTCCATCTCTGTCCTTCATGTCTGTGACACTGTTGATGCCTAAGACGCTCTCAGCAAGAATCTTAATGAGTACCAGGCGGCGTAGTCACGTGTGCTGAGGGTCTGGCGGTGTTTTCCTTGGGGGGCTTCTTCCCCCCGATTCCCACCCGTGGGGTTCCTTCCCCTCTCGCGGCTGCATCCTCGGTTTCCTTTCCGTTTCTCCGCGCCCTGTTCTCTGGAGGAGAGTTTCCCTTCCTCCCGTTTGTTTTCCGTCTCCTTTAGAACTTTTACGGATTTCCTGGATGAGTATTTCTCCACGAGACCGCGACGATACTGTGAATTTTGTTCCTCGTCTTTTAACAGACTCTTAAACTGACAGGAAAACGGTTCATGAGATTTGCCGGAGCCTCTGCCTCCCGGGATGGGGGTGCCAGGGGGAAAGTGAACCATGCCCGGCCGTGCTCAGGACGTGCCCCGAGTGTTCTGTGCCCAGCGGTTGCTCCCGGCAGTGCTCGGGGACCATAAGTAGCGCTTGGGCCCGTCCCATCTCCCCCGCCTCCTTACTCTTTAAACAGACCACACGCGGAGCCTAGAACCCGGATCCCTTCCCAAGGTCCCTCGAAACCCTGAGCAGGCCGGGACACAGGGCAGCAGACGGTGACGCTTCCAGGATCTTGCTGAACCTGCTGGCCGTGTGTCTGTGGCCTCCAGGGGAGGGCCAGCTGCCGGCGTGTGGGTGGGCGCGGAGGCCGCTCCTCCAGGCAGGCTCCCAGGGCCTGGACGGGCCCTTCAGTTTGCCGTGCGGGTGTGGGGTGTGGGGGGAGCCTTGGACTGCAGGGCACGGGGCAGCGGGGGCTGGGGCTTCCCACAGACGCCCCGTGGCCCGCAGGGCTGGGAAGTCCCGAGGTCAGCGCTCAGGTCAGCCTCAGCAATCACATGTCAGCACCTCCTGGCCCGGCTGGCCGGCCAGGTCTGGCCAGCACGTGGCCATCCTGCCCGGTGTGGGTTGGCCGGCACCTCGCTCTGGTCATCCCGAGCACTGTGTGGGGGTCAGACTCGCGTGTGCCCCGTGCTGGCCGCTGGGAACCACATCTGGGTGGGCCGGCCCCCGCGTTCGCCCGAGCTGCACCTCCACAGCGAGGGGGCCGTGTGCCAGCTCCACCGTGAATCCCAAAACGGGGTCCCGAGGGCGGATGGAGCGCAGGAGTGTGGGGTGGCCGTTTGCACGTGGAACGGGGAGGTCGAACGTTCTAGAACTGCATTTCAGAGGGGAGGCTGTGACCTGGGGCGGGGAGGGAGGGATGCCCCCCCACAGGAGGCCTGGTCTTAATTACCTTCTCCTCCCCCTGGTGGCTGTGCTCACAGCTGCCTCCCGCCTCTCAGGTTCCCATGCAGATAACTCCATGTCGAGACTGACTGCGTTTCTCCAGGCATGTGTGCATGTGTCTGCAGGTGTGTGCGTGTGTGTGATGTGTGTGCATCTGCATGTGCACGTGTCTGTGTGTGCGTGTGTATCCGTGTGTGTGCATATGTGTGCTTGTGTGTTTATGTGCATGTGTGTGCATGTGTGTGTTTACGTGTGTGTGTGTGTGTGTGTGTGAGAGAGAGAGAGAGAGAGAGAGAGACCGGCAGTCAAACAAGAAGCCCCAACCCAGTAGACACCGGCCCTGCCCCCCACGCTGAGGAATGTTCCATCAGGGCGGGACTTGTGTCTGTCCAGGGGGCCTTATCTCGGGGCGCCTGCTGGCCCCGCCAGTTTGACTCAGCGCTGCTGCCTGAGCTCCAAGTGCGGGGGTGGGGGTGGGGGTGTGCTGGGGGTCTGGCCCCACCCCTCCTCTGCCTGCCCCTGGGTCTGTCCACCTGCCTCCCCTCCTCAGCGCTGAGGGCGAGGACGCAGCCCCGGAGGCTGGTGGCCGCGCAGGTGGCCGGGTGCCGGGCTGCCGACGGTGGCTCAGACCCCGTGTCTCCTGCCCACCCATGTGGCACGCTGTGTCCCTGGCAGGGCGTCTCCTCCACAAACACGCCTCCCGGGACGCCTTGCCCCGGCCGCAGCCCAGGGTGGGGCATCGCCGCGACCGGCACAGGTGCTGGACGGGCTCGCCAGGGCCCTGGAGGTGTCGGGGAGGCTTCGAGGCCACGGCAGCTGGAGGACGCGCGGTCCTGACCCCGGCCGGCGGGAGGAGGGGCAGCTGCGCACAGAGCCAGGCCGGCACCTGGAAAGGCCGGGGCTGGCCGGCGTCCTGTCCTGGAAGCGATCCGCCTGCCCCCGTGTTTCCAGGCGCGGCTCCAGGAGTGTGGCCGCCTCCTCCCCTTTCACTCGCGCGTGTGCCGTGCCCGTGACCGCACTGCGCTGTGTGGCATGTTCCTGCGGCCCGAGAGTGGCCCACGCAGCTGGCCACGGCTCCTGCCCTCCTCTCCCCGGCAGGCTCGGACGTGTTTCCATTCCCTCCCTGTTGATTCAACACGGCGACACCGCTGTGTGGACCCCGGTGGCTCATGCTTGAGTGTGGGCTGACCAGTGCGGGGGTCTGTGTTCCCCGGCCCGCGAGGGGCCACTGGCCAGAGGTGGTCCGCTCCTTCGTGCGTGTTTGCACAGGTCTCCAGACCGTTACTGCTGTTCGTGATGGCTGAGCCCGTCGGCAGTCCTGTCCGCGGGGAAGAAGGGGTCCTGACCCCGCCCAGCTCCGCTTGGGCTCCTGCAGTGGTGGTGGGTGGGGGGCAGGGAGGGGTCCCTGTGAGTGGCACTCCGGGTGGGAGCGTGTGGTGGTGACACCGCACCCCTGAAACTTAGAGATGTTTACGCTCTGACGCACCCACGTGGCCTCAGTTGGAAAAAGATAAGAAAGAAGCCGGGGGCTGGAGCGATAGCACAGCGGGGAGGGCGTTTGCCTTGCACACGGGCCAACCCGGGTTCGATTCCTGGCATCTCATATGGTTTCCCCCGAGCACCACCAGTTCCTGAGCGCAGAGCCAGGAGTAGCCCCTGAGCATCTCCGGGCGTGAGCCAAAAAGGAAAAAAAAAATTGAGAAAGAAGAAGCTGGGGGCATGCAAGGGGCAGGGTGGGGTGGGGCGGTCAGTGGTTCTCAGACTGAACAGCTGGGACCCAAGACTGTCCTCCCTGGGGGGCAACAGGGAACTGGCCAGGTGTGGCTCAGGCTGCGGGTGGGGTAGGTAACCCCCGTCCAGTACGCCCAGGGATGAGACTGCAGTGGCCACACCCCGCGCCCAGCCCCGGCCCCCACCCCACCTTCTGGGACAAGGCCTGCGTGCAGGGGAGCCCAGGCTGGGCTGGGTGGGTTGGGGGGTCCCAGGATGGCTTGGAGGAGGTCAGGCAAGCGGGCGGCGGGCAGTGGCGGGGCCTATCCACTGCCCTGGCCTTGCTCTGGGGCGGGGGGCTTGCTGGAAGGAAGGACCCGAGCGTCGGCAGACAGACCCCTGCATCTCGCCCGAGCACTGGGCAGGAGGGTGGGCGTCTGGCAGGTGGAAACTCAAAGGTGGCCTTCTCCCACCTAGCATGGGGGTCCCGGTGTGCGGCCACGGGCCAGGGGCTGGGAGCAGGACAGTCCTCTGTCCACGCGACCATCCTCCCGACCTCCCTTGACCCTGCACAGGAACGTGGACCCCCTCCGAGGCCAGATCCCGGGGGTCTTCTGGGCTCGTGTACCCCGTGCCCTCACCCAGCCGCAGCCGACCCCCCTGTGATGAGTCCTGTCCATCTCGGTCTCTGACCTGTCTCCATCTGCCTCCACAGTGGGACCTGGTGTGTGAGAACGCATGGAAGGTCCACATCGCCAAGTTCTCCCTGCTGGTGGGCTTGATCTTCGGCTATCTGGTCACCGGCTGCATCGCCGACTGGTGAGTGCCTGCCGCTCCCGCCCCCTCCCGGAGAATCCCACATCCAGTGACTCAGCCTGGGCCCCCCCAGAGACACCCCAGCACCGCCCCCCACACACACACCAGAGAATTCGAACTCGCCACCGTGGCCTAGACACTCGAACTCGTAAAATGTGGCCCTGAGGGGCGGCTGCTCCCCCCTCCCACCAACGGGGGGTCTGCTGGGTGTGGAGGGTGTGGGTGGGGGTGCACCCCTGGCGATCTCCCATCCTTTGAGGGGCTTCAGGGGCCACACTCAGCAGTGCTAGGGCTGACTCCCGGCTCTGTGCTCAGGGCTCACTCCTAGGGGACCGAGGGGACCACGTGCAGGGCCAGACACCTTCCCACCTACTCTTACTGCAACCTGAATACTTCCCCGTGAGAGCCTCCCGGGAGCCTCCCTGGCCGGCAGGAGGGTCCAGTCCAGGGTCTGGGAGCCGCGTCCGTGTCCGCAGATGCCCAGGGAAGCCCCTGAGTAGCCTCTGCTCCAAGCTGCCCCCTTCCCGGGGAAGCGCCCGCAGGCCGCTCCTGGCTGCTTGTGGAGGGAGCACCGGGCCCAGGGCCGCGTCCGTCCCGCCCACGCTGCCCGGGACCTGGTGCCACTCCGGGCCGGGCACAGGCGTGAGCCGCAGGTCAGGGGCTCAAGGACACGCCTCAGGTCCCCACGTGTCCTTTCCGCACTGTCCCATGTTAGTTTGGGGGTCCCCACCCGGACGGGCAGCCCGCGTCTTGTGTCGTGGGCATGTCACAGCTGCAGGGGCCCCCATGTGTCCCCCAGGGGCCCCGAGCGACCACGCTGGCTGGCGCAGGAAACGGGGGATCATTTCCGCAAGTCAAACAGCCCAACGCGGGGCTTCCTGAGGCCTCCGAATGGGGCGGGGTCTGGGGGCCTGGGGGACCTTGCCCAGGAGTGGGGGGCTGATGGCTCGGAGCCAGGCCTGGCCCTCGGTGCTGTGACCTCCTGGGGATGATGGGTGAACACCCAAGCCTGCCCCCACCCCCACCCCCAAAGGCTCTGGAACCAGGCCTGCTCCTCCAGGAAGTCAGGCCTGCTCCTCCTCCTCCAGGAAGCCACCCCTGCTGCTCCTCCTCCAGGAAGCTAGGCCTGCTCCTCCTTTAACGCTTTCTTGGCAGGCACCTGTCCTGTCCTCAGCCTCGCCCAGTTGTGGGCAAGGCCCGCCCCAGGCTCTCCCTGGCAGCGGTCACTGCCCCTCTCCATGGGCCCTTCCCGGGCATCTGCTTTCCCACAGGTGCTTGTCCCAAGAATGCTGACGGCCTCCGGGCCCGGCTGACTCACCCACGTGGTGACCGGCCTGGCTTTGGACAAGCCCCTCTCAGGGTGGGACGGGGCTTAGGTGCTCCCTCCCGGCCACACCTGGGAGCACGGCGCCCCCTGCTGGTCGCATCTCCCCGCGCCCCCCCCCCCTCCCTGCACCCCAGCGAGTGCTCACGTCCCCCCACCCCAAGCCTGGCTGGAGGGCGACAGCCCCCCGGAGCTGAGGGCCGTGTGTGGGCTCGGGGAGGCTGACTTGTCTCGAATCCCCCCAGACCTGGGCCCGTCCCGCTCTCATCTCGGCTGGGCAGGGGCTGCGTGTGCCCCGCAGGCGGGCAGGGGCCTCACGCGTGTCTCTGCGCAGGGTGGGCCGGCGGCCCGTGCTGCTCTGCTCTGTCATCTTCATCCTGCTCTTCGGCCTGACCGTGGCGCTGTCCGTGAACGTGACCATGTTCAGCACGCTCCGGTTCTTCGAGGGCTTCTGCCTGGCCGGGATCATTCTGACCCTGTACGCGCTGCGTAAGTACTCCCAACGCCACGGGGACTCTGCGACGGGCCACGGCCGAGGAAGGTTTGCCCCAACCGGGCGTTGTGGGTGTCGGGCCGGCCGGTGGTCACGCGGCACCTGTGGGCCTTCCCTGCAGGCAGGTGTCTCATGGGCCCCGGTTCTCGGGGTGCGGCCAGTGAGGGGTTGTCAGTGGCCGGCCGTCTGGGGGCACAGTTGCCCATGCATAGTGGCTCGGCTTCGGAGCTTGGTGGACAGTTAGAGGTCCCTCTCCCCGGCCCATGCCTGCCGGGTCAGCGGCCACAGTGGCCACGGAAAGTGGCCTTGGTACCGCAAAGGTCACGATCGGTCTTCTTGCTGGCCATGGGCTGTGGTGGCCGAGGGCTGCCGGAGCCTCCGAAGATCCTGGGCGTCCTGGGGGCCTTGAGAGGACAGTCCGTACACCAGCCGCGCCTGTCCCGGGGAGGGAGGACAATGGTGGACGGTGGATGAGGCGGGACGAGGCGCCCCCTGAAGAGCCTCCCAGCCACTGTCCACCCGGTCCGGGCCGAACTCCCTGCTGGGGGCGTACAGATGGGCTCCTGCCACCTGGTGCTGGGGCCCTTCTCTGGGGAAGGCGCGTTTCTCTGCACCGCCACCGTGGGGGCACACGGCCTGGGGGACTGCGTGGTTTTTTTTCTCCGGGGCACAGAACTGTGTAACCCCAGCCCCCGGCGGCCCCCCAGTGCTCGGCAAGGGCCTGTGCTAGGTGTGTGTTGGCAGGGACACGTCCGTGAGCCGTGTGGCTGTGTGCCAGCAAAACCTTATTTCCAGAGGCAGGTGGGGGCCGGGCTGGATCCGGGACTGTATCTCTCGGCCTTGGGTGCGGTTCTGCTCCTTGCCGCCCGCCTGGGTGGGGCCTGGCACCCCGGCCTCCCTCCTGGCCGTCCATGCTCTGGACATCGTCCTCCCCACCGCAGCTTGTCCTGTGCCCAGTGGTCTGTGGCCCATCTCCCGAGTGTCGGTATTGCCATAAACAGACTTTGCATCTGAAGCACCGCGGGGTGTGATTAATAACGGCTGTTTCCCAAGCTTAGGAACGTGAATTGAACAGTAGTGAAAAAAATAAATAATGACCCAACAACCCGGCGCAGCGAGTGTTCCCAGGTTCGATGTCACGCAAGGTGTGGCACGTCAGGGTTCAGGCCCAGCAGGTCACGAGTCACCCTGGGAACCCGCCCAGGTGTTTGAACTCTGCAGGTGAGGCGGCTGAGTGAGGGATGACGGAAGCGCTGAGGGGGTGAGGAGTGACTGGGCGCTGCCCAGATCATGTGGCCGACCTGCACGGGGCCCTGGGTTCGACCCCCGACGTGGCATGACTCCTCTCCGGCCCGCACCCCAGCCCTGCCAGACCAGACCCTGACGGAACGAAAAAGGCGGCCGTCGTGCTGGGGGGAGGAGGAGGGTGGGGGGAAGGGCGTGTGCTGGGCCGGGAGCGGTGCCCCCCTCTGGGGCCCAGAGAGGAGAGAAGCCCCCCGTGAGGGAGACAGGCTGCGTCTGACTTGCCACCTGGGAGTGTTTGTGGTGTTGCCCCTCAGGTCCCCGGGAATCTGTTTCGCTGAAAACAAGCGCTCAAGGCTGGCCAGCTGGAGGCTCCTTGGCCTGGGGCATCGATTATTGGACGATGCATCTTTAATGCTGCTGATGGCTTCTCCTCCAGCCCACAGGCCCTCAGCCAACTCGGCGATGCTTGAGGGGCCTCCCGGACCAGGAGCTCATGTGGGCGTGGCACCCTGTCTGGGCAGGGCCGTGGTGGGGGGAGAGGGGTGAGAGCCAGGCTCTCTGCAGCCCGGCCGCCGCTGGGTGACTCTCGGTCAGCCCACAGCTGCTGACTTGGGGCGTTTTTCCTGCTCCGGAGCCCAGGGGTGGCCAGTGCGGGCAACTGAGGGGTTTGTCGCCAGCCCGTCCCAGGGAAATACGCTCCCCTTTAAGCCTTGGTCTCCTCAGGCCCCTCACGGAGCCATGGTGAGTCATTAGAACATAAATTCACAACGATCAGCCTCTGCCCTGACTCCTGACCGCCGGGCACCCGGGAGAGCCCTGGGAAGGCAGGGCCGGTGGGTTTGGGTGGGCCGCCGTGCCCACACACGGGCAGCAACCAAAAGGGACAGACGCTGGGTGGGCCAGAGGAACCAGAGGCCCAGAGGCCCAGAACCCCTGACCGAGGGCTCAAGCCTGTCTCAGGGGCGATGGGTTCCTCTTCTGAGGGGCCTGTGCCACGCGGTCGGGAAGGCAGCTGTGTCTTGTCAGGAAGCCCCAGACAGAGGGCCAGGCCAGCACGGAGGGCGGGAGCAGGCCCAACGCCAGAGCCCCTGGGCACTGCCATGTAATATAAGGCAGCGGGAAGCCCGGACTTGCCCTCGGGGAGACTTTTCTTTTTTTTCTTTTAAATTGTATTGAATCACCGTGAGATAGTTACAAGCTCTCATGTTTGGGTTACAATCGCACAATGATCAAACACCCATCCCTCCACCAGTGCCCATCCCCCACCACCAATATCCCCCCTTCCCACCCTCCCTCTGCCTCCATGGCAGACATGATTCCCCATACTCTCTCTCTACTTTTGGGCATTATGGTTTGCAACACAGACCCTGAGAGGTTATCGTGTTTGGTCCTTTATCCACTTTCAGCACACATCTCCCGTCCCGACCCATCCCTCAAGCCATCCTTTTCTTAGCGATCCCTTCTCTACCCCAGTTGCCTTCTCCCCTTTGCTCACGAGGCAGGCTTCCAGCTAGGGAGCAATCTTCTGTCCCTTGTATCTGCTGTCCTTAAGTGTCAGCCTCCTGTTACATTGTTTCAGACTTCACAAATGAGTGTGTCGCAAGGAGACTTCTCTAACTCCACACACGGGTGTTTCTTTAGTCCCTCTCTCGTGGGCTCTGTCTCCCCTCACCCCCACCCCAGTCCGACTCCCGAGCTTTGCTGGGGGCTTCAGAGGCCCTGCTTGGGGGTCCCTGCGGAGCCCATGGCTGCCGGTTGGGCCTGAGCAGGTTGCTTGGCGCTTCCTTCTGGCGTCCCACCTTCCCGGCCGCCTCTGTGCCCTGGGCCTGGACTCGGCCGACGGCTCCTCCCCCTCATGGAGCCGACTGGAAGCCCCACACGGGATGGAGGCACATGGCCTGGCAGAACCCGCCCAGAGCTAAGGACATGCGGGAGCGACTGGCCGTGACACCCCCAGGGGGTCCAGACGCTCCCCAGGGCCCGCGGCTCCTTCTGCGTCCTCCATCGTGAGGGTCTCCCGGGGGCCCTGGGGGCCCATTTCAGCCCTGCATCAAAACTGGGCAGAGGGCGTTGAGGGGTCTTCAGACATGAGGGCCTGCCCGGTGGGCTGGAGAGAGAGCTGGCCAGTGGGGGGGGGGAGAGAGAGAGAGAGAGAGAGAGAGAGAACTGACCAGTGGGCTAGAGAGAGGAAGCTGGCCAGTGGACTGGAGACGTTTCCGATGGTCTCTCGTGAGTCCACAGGCTTCCACGTTTCCCCCAGTTTGCTTCTGGGAAGCAGATTGTGTTTGCCAGGGGTAGCGTTTCCTGTAAACGCCGACGTGGCCAGAACCCACAGTCCCTGGGCCTTCCCAGCGCCACCCCTTGCCCACTCTTGCCCTCCACACCCAGTTCCTGTGCTCGTGGGGGCACCAGGAGGGGCCGGCCCGGCAGGAATGGGCGCTTACCTACGGTCTGGGGGAAGTGGCTCTTTTGGTCTGGAGTTTAGGTTTCTGTTGGGGGAACCCCCAGCGGGGCCGAGGCCAGGGCCAGGAGTGCTGGTCTGCAGAGCTGTTCGCTCAGGCTCTCCCTGGGCAAGCGGTTTTCTCATCCTGTTTCGTCTTTCTCCCTTGGAACCCCCGGCACTGCGGGGGGTGGGGGGAGGCTGGAGTTCCTGGGGTGGGACTCAGGGCCTCGCGTCTAGCCCCTGGGCCGCGGCCAGAACTGCCCCCAGCCCCCGTCTCATTGTAACCTTTCGTTTTCCGGTGACACCCGGCAGCGCTCTGGACTTAACTCCTGGCTCTCTTTAGGCAGAATTCCAAAGAATTTTGGTTCTCCCCTGAGTGGGACTGGCCGGGCGTGGGGGTGGGTTTCTCAGGGAGCAGTTTCCCCCCTGCAGACCCGCCCGGGAGGCGAAGGCAGAAGCCCTGGAGCACCTGCCCCGGCGAGGGACACGGCCAGGCGGCGGTCAGCACCGGGCTCTGAGGCTAGAGGCTGAGCCGGCTGTTAGGGGCCCAGAGAGTGCAGGAGGCGCCCTCCTCCCAGCCGGCCTCTCCCGCCCTGCTCTCGGCCATCCCGAGGGAAGAAGCGCGAGGGTCTGGCTCGGGGCCGGATGCGGGGCCTGCCAGGGCAGTCAGGGGCCGGGGGTGGGCGGCACTGCCAGGCCTCGCCACCTGCCTCCGGCTCAGCGTTCGGGGCGGGGAGCACGGCCCCGCCGACCCCAGGCAGCGTCTGACTTGCACACGTGCCCATTTTATTTGGAACCGGCCAAGATAGGCGCGCCTCCAAGTCATATGAAGTAACAGCAAATATTTTGCTCTCTGATGTTCTCAGATGTGGGGCATTTGGAGGCCTTCCCAGGCCGGGCAGGGCCTCGGTGACACCGAGCGTGCTGGCAGGCGGGGGGAGGGGAGCTCATAGAAAGATCTGGAACTTGAGCCCGGCAGGCCCTGTGAGCCCCAAGGTGGCCATCTCCGGGTCCTGCACACCTTGCTCTGACTCCCGGCCTCTGCCCCACCCTCTGCAGAATTGTTTTTCAAACTGAGTCTCGCAGAGCCCTGGGGGTCCCCACTTAGGGCCCCTGGGTCCCCGGGGTGGGGGAGAGAAGAGCCGCTGTGAGAGCAGACGCGCAGGAATCCGCGGCCGCCCCACTCCCGCCAGACTCTGGGTCGGAGGCTCGGCCAGTGACGTCTTCCCTGTGGCAGTTTCACAGCTAGGGCCGGGCAGGGGGGCTCTGGCGGGGGGGCTCTGGGGGGCTTGGCCTTGCACTGTGTCC